ATCTAATGTCTTCTGTTTTCACTGTAAAGTAGGAAGCATGGTTTCTGTTAAGAATGCAGAAGTTGGGAAAGGGAGGGGCTTTAGAAAGCTATAACTATTTGAATGGGTTATCATGGGTACTGTAACAGGAATGTGTGTAAAGAGTATAAAGCACAATTCAAAAGTTTGTCCATACTTATGAGGCCTATTATTTTACAATGTTAAAGAAAAATTGTGTTATTTGTTCATTCTTTGCTGTGCTTCTAAATATTGTTACTTAAAGCACATTTCTTAGTAGCTTTAGAAATTCCCCACTCTCAGAATGGAATGGATTTGTGACTCTCTGAGTTGTGATATGGATATGAGTATTGTGTTATTGTTCTATCACCTTTAAGCTCCTAACCAATTATATGTAAAACAGATTTTGTCTATCGACTTCTCTTTGTTTAGTGGGCATTTTGGACAATATATTGTATAATATAGATTGGTCTTAATATTTGTTAAGTTCATGGATACTCAAAAATATTTTTTGGGGGGAAGATACCAAAGAGCTTTTCAGAAATGAATCTTCAAAAATAGATTCTCATTTGGTATTAAGACAGTGCCATTGTCTTGCTGAACTGAAAAGCAAAGGCAATATACTTTTTTTTTAGTGTTTAATGAGGAAACATTTAATTAGAATTCAGATTTCCCAAGTTTTAGTTTAGAATGCTGATAGTCATCATAATTTATTTAAGTGAAGTCTGAGTTGAAATATAAGAAGAAATATAGTTTATAATTTTTTATTAAATTCACTTACCATAGTATTATTTCTAAAGTACATTTACAGTAAAAGTCATTTGTATCTATCTGCTCAATGCCCTTTTATTTTGGCCATCAGCACCTTAAAAAGTCTTTGTAGCTTTACTGCCTGGTCTGTCTTTAATTACACCAAACACTCCCACACTTACTGTGGTGTGTATGCCCTGTGTGCAGCTGGCATCATTAACACTTGCTGAGCATTATGTGCAGGGTCCTTTTATAGAAAACAGAGCAAGACTGTGCGCAAATCCATGACACTTTAGAATGTTAAAGGTGAACTTTTTATTTGCTCAAACTTCTTTGTACACACAAATGACAATTTATTCAACAGTTTCTCTACACGATATACTTTTCTCATGTTTCTCAATATTTTTAACAGAATTTAGATGAAGTCTTATGTATGATCAGCTCTTCCTGTTTGTTTCTCTCATGTAGTCATAATTATCTGAGGTGCTGCATAAAAGTCATCACCACAGTAACCATTCCTGATGTCACAAAGGATTATTACTTCTCTTAGGAAAAAAGTATTTTGAGCAGATGGGTGCATAAGGAACCAGAATCCCGTTATTATACACAGAGGGTGGGAGGAAAACTAATATCCAATATGTATGTAGGCACACATTTTTTAAAGTAGATTTTTAAATTTGTATTTGATACTAAGAATTTCTGAGGAGTATGAAAAGGGTGATGTTTAAGCCACAAAGTGAAAAGTTGCATGAATATTGTTTTAAGCTTTTAACTTTAAAGATATGTTTGTATTTTGAAAACTTAATTTTAGATAAAATTTGCTGTTGCAGATTATGGACTTCCTACATCCAACACCATGCTGCCACCCGTTTTCCTCTTTAGTCTTTTCAAAGATGTGAGCCTTCTAATCTCTCTTTTTTGAAAACTGGTGATGATAGAAATGATGACAGTATATTTGCTGATATTATTATAAGGCTCTTCCTTTATTAATACAAATTATTCCTTTATATATATATATAAAGGAATATATATTATATATAAAGGAATAATACAAATTATTCCTTTATATATAAGCAGTGATATAAAACACTTTCGGAATTGTGCCTATACAGTCAAACTCTTACATAGGCTTGATAGCCAATTTCTACTCACTACTTGTCTCTCTTTCCATTTTTTTCTTACAAGTTCTGACATCTATAAAATATCTGTTTCTCTTTTCCTCTCTCTCTCCTCCATCTTCCTTTCTTCCTTTCTCCCCTTCCTTACATTGAACTGTTTTGGTTGGGGTTTGTTTTTTTTTCCATGTGCATGTTCTATATTCTTATACCAAATTAACTGCCTTATTGTACAGAAAAATGGACTGCTGGCAAACACCCACTCCTGTGTATTCTAGAATGGATTCAACCGCACTCATTAGATTGCCTAAACTTTAAAAATTAGATAATTCCCAAGTGCTAGTGAAGGGGTAGAAGCAACAGGAACTCACACATGGCTGGGGGGAGTTCACTGCCTTTGGAAACCTGTTTGTCAAGAGTGGATGGATTTCACAAACATAATGTTGAGTATAAGAAGGTAGGCACAAAAAAATGCAACGTGATTCTATTCAAATAAGGTTCAAAAAACAAGCAAAGCTTCTGAATGTAGTTATGTTCTTATTTGTTGCATTACTAAATTTGATGAACACATTTGTTGAATAGATTTGTATTAAAATTTATTGAGTTATTGAAGGTTTTGTATATTGAATAGCTGTTGATAGGAAGCCAGCTTGGCTTTTAAAATTCATTGTGAACAGCCTCCATCCACATAGTTTCTAAGCCTTAGTTTCCTAGCGTATGAAATTAAGGCTTACTTTAGCTATTCTCTAAGATTTCTAAGTCTTAGGCAATACACAGTTTATGTTCTAAAAGCTCATGTTTATTCAGTAATTAGAATGAAAAACTATTTGAGCTTTGCAATTCAGGCTGAAGTATACTGTATGTTCACGTGTTAGGGTCCGGGCTTCCGAGGCTTCTCCAGAGAACAAACTACACAGGCATAGAGATGTAAATACAGGCAAAGTCTTTATTCAGCCAGCAAGCTGGGGTCGACAGCACCTCCCCTGACATGCAGGCCGAGTCCGAGCTGCCGACCCCCAGGCAACTTTAGGTATTGCTTATATAGGATTTTCACAGCGTTACACCGAAGCCCGCGCATTTCTACAACCAATAATTTTAAAACACATTCTATATTGTAATCTTTCAAGAAACACTCCAGCTGCTTGACCACTTCAATTGTTATCTCTTGCTTACCCAAGCATGTCTATGTGACTTATCACAGATCACGCCCCCAGGCTGTTGCCCAGTTCTAGTTATCTAACTTAAAGCAGGCGCATTTCTAAGCTTAGCCTCAGGTTGTTTATTCAAAACTGGATGGCCCATGCTGAGAACAAAGCACACAAGCAGTTAGGTTAAATGTTATTAGTCCTCTTTCCTGACTCTTGATGCCCTCTGCCCTCCTTTACACACGTTATTGAAGGACTGAACATTTAGGTTTGTAATCCTAAATGTTCAGTTTCTCTGACATCACCCATATATAAATCACCCAACAATTTAGACAATTTATACTTATTGGAAAATAAAACTTGGGAAATTAGGTTTCTAAATGAGATTATGACCAGTGTTCTTGGCTGGCTTATTTGACTAATTGCCCTAACAATTAAGAATTTTCTGTTATCTTATTAGCTAATTATCCTAGGGTCCTGTACTCCACCTGTATAACAAAATAGTAAGGCTAAGTAGAATAGGCACAAAACTAAGTGAACAAAACTATTTTGTTTCATTTTAGTGTGGGTTTCCTTTAAGTTTTTCAAAATTATGAAGCTAGTATTTATGAGGCTCCACTATATAAGTTGTATGTGTGTGTATATAAAACATAAGAAATGAAATATATCGCTTCATTGTCTAATATAATTTGGCAATGATTTTAAAGGTATGGCCTTAGTTTCAGTTCTTTTATTAGGGAAATGAAACTCTGTTATTTACTAACTTCAGAGCTAAATTCCTTTGTGATCCAATTCTTTGATCCTTTGTTATGCATCTATAAATGCACTGTCCAGTATGTTAGCCACTAGCCAGGTTTGGCTGTTGAGCAGTTGAAATGTGGCTAGTCTGAAGTGACATGGCACTGTAAATGTAATATATACTTGGGTTTCAAAGATTTATTACATGAAGAGGTTTTAAAATATTTCACTAATTTGTATGTTGATTGCATGTTGTGATGTTGATTTTTTAGATATATTGGATTGAATAAAATATATTACTAAAATTAGTTTTTTGCCCATTCCTTTTACTTTCAACTTGGCCACTAGTAAATTTAAATTATATATGTGACTCACAGTTGTGGCTCCCAAATTTGTTTTTGGCAACACTCTTGTAGCATCAGCCATATTTTGTGTAAGGAAGTCAGATTTAGGAAGACAGATGTTCTTTCTTCTCTTCCCATTCCTATGTTCAAGGCTTAGAAAGTATTCTAAAGCTATTTATGTTCCAGCAGTTGAATAGCATCTGTTCTGTGTAACGTGAGGTACACATGACAGAAGGTATGTTTGACCATCATTTGACCACTGGGTGCAATGTTGAAGTATACTGGTGTGCTCTAAAATGAAGAGAATAAAGAAAAGTGGAACACAAACTACCAAGAATTGGAAAAGGGAACATACTATGGACTGTAGAACATGCCATTAAAAAGACCCTAGTGCTAATATTTAGGAGTTACATAATATGATTTAGAATTATACTGTGCTGCAGAGTTTTCTTTGATAATGGCTGACTTGGAAAACCACTAATAGAAGAGCATAGTGGTTTCCAAGCTGAGTAAAGATAACAACAAGAGAATATTAATTCCTATTTTTTCCTCTTACACAGAATTGTCATTTGTGAAAAAGGCATGAAAAATTTCACAATGTTGCAGTCATAAATTCCTCAGACACAAAGAATTTCTTTAAGCTCCTATATGATGCCAATGAGAATAATCTTTTTTCTCTTAAAAAGTGATTGTCTCTTTTCCCCATCCCACCCCCATTTCCATGTTTATTTGTTTTGTTTTGTTTTGTTTTGTTTTGTTTTGTTTTTCCAAAAAGACATATTTAATGCCCTGCTTAGGTTTATTTTCTACTTACTCACAAAATAAGGAATAACACTGTTATGTTTTGTATTTGAAATTGTAAGGTACCTTTCTTTTTTCTTTTATTTTTAATTTAACTCTTTGTTTTACAGATGAGGGCAGAAGTGCAGTTGGCCAAGCAGGTGGTGCACAGATTGTAATTGACCATTTAAGGTCACTGTGCAGTATAACAGACCCCGCCAGTGAGAAGCTCTTGACTGTCTTTTGTGGCATGCTGATGAACTATAGCAATGAGAATGGTAAACAAATTGAAAACTTGCTTTATCTCTGGGGGAAGAATTAAAAATCATCATTACTAAACTACAAACCAAAAATATCTTTAAAATTATGAACAAAGAATTCATAAGTGGCTTATAAAATTAATAATTAGCCAGCATTAAATTACAATGTTTCAAAAATACAAAATGGTTTGATTTACTAAATGGGGTGAGTTTTTGAAGGATTGCCCATGTTAATACCAAAAGCTGAAAACTACAGTGGTATGGTTTTAAGAGTTCTTGCTATCAACATTTTAAAAATAAACAATTCAAAATAGCAGAAGCAGCTTTAAAACATAAAACACTGCTTACATAAGTAAAATTATTTTATCTAGATGTTAGACTTACTTGTAAGAATTTTAAAAAATCTTTTAACAAAATCTAGCCGTAGAAAAATTAAAAGTTCAAAGCAATTGTAGATAATCTGATTTAGAAATTTAATGAATACTTATAAACAAGGTTTTTTTGCTGTGTAAAACATTCTTAGAATCTAGCAACAAATGACATGTCAACAGTTTTCAGATAGCCCATGTGGTTGGTTAATTAAGTGGTATGGATGCTTTTTTATACTTTTAAATATCACAAAAAAATTGATTTAGTTTTCATCTTAAATGAGTTGCTGTATGGATCAAACACTCAAATTCTGGTCGATTCCTAGAATGTAACATAAAGTCTTTTTGTGGTTTGTTCATAATGGCATTTTAAGTTGTATTCTTTGACAGAGACATTTTATTTGTATATTGAACATGCGGTATTCTTTACTTTCGTGTTTTCTAGAAACACACAGCCCTTTAGCCATATTTTTCATTTTTTCACTTTTGGTAGTTATGAGTCCAAAGAAATATTCGCAGTAATTTTAAAAATAAGATAAACATTGGTGACAAATGGCTACTGACATTTGGCTTTGGTATTAATGACAACAGCAAAGGGAGGGGACTGAAGCCCTCGTCTCATTGAAAGGGGAGAGCCACTACTTTGTTTCTGCCAGATATTTTCATTTAGGGTTACAGGAGAAGTCTAGCTTTTAATGTGACATCTGTTTTTTAGATGTTGGGTTACATTTGCTTTTTTTTTGTTTTTTTGTTTTTTTTAGCACTGTACAAGCTAAACAGAATGTGTCCTCAGGCCACATCCTCTCCAAGGGACATCAGTTTTAAAACTCTGAATCAAAATTATCCATAATAATAATAATAAAATAATTTTTGTCAAATGGCTTGCCTATTAACTTTGAGCTAATAACAAATGATAGTCTTTATAGGGTCAGTTACCTCTTTTTCTTGACCTATGGTGGAATAATTTTTTAAGAGAAAATGACCTAAATATAACCAGGAGAAACAAATGACAGGGTCTGGGTAATCCATGAAAGGAATAGCTAATTCCTAAATAATTGTAATTTGACCATAATGCACACAGGTATCTGAAGTGCACTAAGAAATGATTGGCCAATTGTTCATGTTGCTTCCTTTCTCTTCAACTTCATTTAGGCTTAGACACTTGAAAAAGTGGGACATTTGCTAAGGGGAGGGTGGTTTAGAAAGGTAAATGAAAGAAACTAGTCATGAATTTATAATAGCAACTTCAGATATAACAGAATTAGTCCTGTGACACATCTAGACTAGTTGTTTGTCCTTTGCAGAAGCTGTTGTTCAGAAATCTGCACAAAAGCTTATCAGGTGGCCAAATGGTCTTCAGGAACATCACTAGTTCTAGATGAAAGGAGACTGTGATTGAGTCCCTTATAGGGTATCACAATGTATAGAGCAGTGTCCTGGGAGGGTAATGATGACAACATGCAGAACACACAGTCAAATGGATAATACATTCCTTTTTAAAGAATAGGGTTTTGTTTTTTCTCCCCTAAAATGTAAGTATTCCCAAGAAATAACTTAGATACTTTGGAAAGCTGTATTAACTTTTCTCAGGACATCATTGGATCACTGGTGTTTTTGTTCATTCTAAAAGCTACAATTTGAATGCAGCTTTCAGAACTTATTAGATAAAATAGAAGTAAAGTTATCTTTATTATTTTAAGGAAACAAATGCCAAACTTCTATCTGTCTTCTTTTCTCTGCTTCTTTTGACATTTGTCTGTCATGGGGATTGTAGTTCGCAATTCCTTTTTTTTCTTAATGCTCCTTAACCTAGATTATATCCTATTTTGTTTTGCATAATTATTAAGCCTCTTTGTTGTTGTGTCTATTATTTACTTACTCTTTTTCTTAAAATGTATGTTTGAAGACTTTCCAGCTTAAACATTAGGTCGTCTTGGCTTACTTGAGACCATTTGTATTGATCCTGTCTACCAAAATGAGTCACTGAGACAAAAAACAACAAAGTTTTTTGAAACACAGGAGGTACTTTTTATTAGCACTGATAAATAAAGTTCCTTTTTAACGTATTTTCTATTGAATTTCAGTACATAGGCCTCTGCTCATTTCTAAGTAGAACAGTTGAATAATAAATACCTTCTTGTTACTCTAGCAGAATTATGAATCTACTCTTGGAACCAATAAATTAAGCCTTATTCCTAGTTAAGGAATTATTCATCATAAAGTATGAAAATGGTCACAAAGACACACCAACATAATTTTCATGATGAGAAAATTTTCAAATTGTTCATTAGTCCTCAAAGTGGATTGATACCAGGTTGAGACAAGTTTGATTCCCGCCCATATAGTGAGTGGACAATTCTGAGCATAAGAAGTTTTAAAATCCTTTAAATAGGGAATAAAACAAATGTCCTAAACACATGTAAGACATATATTATGAAAATACTTACTCAGTAAGTTATTTTTGTACCCTTTGATAAAACTATATAAAACTCAAGGTTCACGAGTTTTAAAACTTTTCAAACAGCTCAAGATTGTATACTTTTAAGCTATGAGCTGGATATATTCTTTTGTTTCCCCATAGGTGAAGCAATTAGAACATTTTATACTCAGACAAGTAAGTGTGGAATGTCTGAATAGAAAAAGTCTTAGTTGCTTAGGCACACAAGTCATAATAATACTGTATTAAAAAAATGATGTTTAAATAGAATAAGATGAAACTTTTTGTCTGGTAAAACTTGTTTGAAATTGATCCTTTGGGGAAAAATCATACCTGTTTTTCACATGGTGAAAAAGCACTCTTCAATTCTGTGCCCCCCCACCCTCAGTCTGAATATTTGACAATTGTTAAAAAAAAAAACATGTTGAAGATTGGACATTCAGTTTAAAGAAATACACAAAGCTTCCTATATATTCTTCATCTAGTTTCAACTTTGGTCTTAGTTATTCTATAAACAAGGAACTTAAATTTACTACTGTGAACATTTTTTGTCTCATTGGTTTATTACATATCTTTTTTTCCCTAGCTTTTGTTACCCATTACCAAAAAACATTGCAGTGAAGACTAAAAATTGTGTGCAGATATCCAGCTGTTTTCAGATATAACACACCATGTTAGCATATAGTAGCAGTTTGGAAAATATTTATTGATTAACTTTTCTGGATCCTTAGCACTGTGTAAAGTTTTTTAATTAACAAAGTCAGTAGTAGGAAAAAGAATGCTATTGGAATGCATTTTCTTCATTAAGTTAATTAGAAGCATTATAAACTTTTGCCTACTCTATTACTTTATAATCCCTAATTCACATACATGGCAGTAGCAGAAAGTGGTATTGAAAACACCCTGATATTAACAGTACTGGATCTGTGGTTAGAAATTTACCATTGGTGATCCACAAATTTAATAAATCTGCACGTGTGTACTTGAAAGTTGATTGCAGTTTGAACAGAAACCAGTAATCTAAAGCAAAACACCATAATATACACCTTGTTGAGTCACTTGTTGGTGATCACCATTTTTATTTTATTACAAGTAACTGTTATTAATCGACAAATATCTCTTAGAAAACTCTGTAATTGAGAGTTTATTTTCTTAATACACTTTTGCTGGAGATACAAAATATAGGGAAAAATCTGTTACAACTCTTAAGAAAATTATTGATGATAAGCATTAAAGCAAAGACTGAAGCTATTTGGTTTACATAAGTTATGTCGTAAGAGGGAAAAGTAGAGGAAATACACATGCCATCAGGGGCAAGTTAGTTTCCTTCTAAAATGACTAACATGATATACACGGTCTAGGACTGGCTTCTTCATGTGACCTAATATATATCATAGAAATGTATATGTATACATACATGATTTTATAAATAGCTGATTTTTCTCTGATAATTCTGTGTTACTGAAAGGCTAATTTTTTTTTAAGTTCTTAAAATCTCTCTGGGATACTTTCATGATAATTTTCACATTTATTTGCTCATAGACATAGTAACTCAGTTGTAGCTAGAGGGAGGCCATCTGTGTGATTTAGGAAATGCCTCTCATGGGGTGTGTCACTGGAGCTTAACAATGGAATTTAAGTATTAAGCCTGGTACTTAAATTCAGCTGTTTAAAATAGGCCTATAAAGTATTTTCTCTTCTCTAAAGGTCCCAAATTACTTTTAGCTGCTTCTTCCATTTGAAATAGCAAAAATTTCAATATGAAACAGCAAGTTTCACAATTCTAGTCATACTTTTCATTTTCCAAATGAACTCAGTCCAGCAATTTAGCGTACTTCATTTTCATCACACTTAAAATAGGAATGTTAGACATTAATAAGGAAAAATCCTGATTAAAAACTAGAAGGTACTTTGGCCTGAGCTCCTTGTTTATCCTTATGTTTTGGTATTACTTTATTACAGGTAAGAAAGGGGACAATTCCTAAATGTTAGATGTTTGGAAAATGATTTGTTTTGCAGGAGTAAGGAGTCCAAGCTAATAAATAATTCCATGTATTTCCTAAATACTAAATAATAAAACCTTTTTACTTTATTCTAAGGTTAAAGAACAATTCAAAATGTAAAATTTTAGCTTTACAAATCATTTTTTCCTTAAGTATATTAATTTCCCAATATACCATTTTCAATATATTTTCTGCTCATTTTTTTTCTCT